CCCAAGACCCAATCACCTTGTAAAACGCGAAAAATCCGACTATCTCAGAATTCGACGAAAATTGAAGTGGTAGCTATATTTCGCTAGACGAATCCAACGGTGAGGTTCGTTTCATCACCTGAGATCTAGAAAGATTCAGGTTTTCAACCCAAACTATAGTGGCAAATTATCATTTTGCCCCTTCTTGTAAAAATTTTAAATTTACCTGAGTTTTACATTTTTTTCCCTTAAAAGAATTTCGTCTCCGAAATTCACACATACATGCACACATAATGATATGCATATGCAACATTAATACTATACTTAAAATTGTAAACATGTACCTCCAACATCAAACAAGAACGGATAATTGGTACGTATGGTGTCGTCATGCTCCCATGTTGCCTCCTCCACACCTAGGTGTTGCCACAACACCTTCACTAGCCTCACGATTTTGACTCCCAAAACCTACTCTCGGTTATCCATGATACGCACCGGTCCCTCCTCAAAGGTTCCATCCACATCAACAATCAACTCACCCTAATCCATTACATGCGTCAAATCCGGAGTATACTTTCAGAGAATAGAGACATGGAACACCGCATGAACACCCGATAAATTTGGTGATAACGCCAACCTATAAGCCACTATACCCACCCTCTCGAGTACCTCAAAAGGCCCAATAAACCTCGGTGACAGATTTTCCTACTTCCCGAACCTAACCACTCCTCTCTTAGGCATCACTTTTAAGAAGAAGTGATCTCTCACCTCAAACTACAATGGTCACCATCATCTCTCGGCATAACCCTTTTGCCGGCTCTGAGCTGTAAGAAGATGCTTTCGTATCAAGTCCACCTTCTACGAGGTGTCTCTAATCAAATTTGGACTCGTAGAAGGTCTCTTTTTAACCTCTGTCCACCACACCAGAGAACGACAATGCCTCCCATATAGTGCCTCATATGGTACCATATGTATGCTCCCCTGATAACTATTGTTGTTGGCGAATTCCACTAAGGATAAATGTTCTTTCCAGCTCCCCTTGAGGTCCAGGACACATGCTAGCAACATGTCCTCTAGATTCTGGATGGTCCTCTCCAACTGACCGTCTGTCTGGAGATGAAAAGTTGTACTCATCATCAACTGTGTCCTTATGGCTCGCTGGAAGCTCTCCCAAAAGTGAGCCATAAACCTAGGGTCCCAGTTCTATACTATAGATATGGGCATCCCATGCAATTGGACTATCTCTCGTTTATATAACCTGCAGAACTCCTCTAACTGGTCCACTATCACCCACACCGCATTATGCCCCCGTGACGTTCGTGGCAAGTGTGTCACAAAATCCATCGTGACGTGCTCCCATTTCTACTCAGCCACCTCCAATGGCTGGAGCAAACCTGCTGGTCTCTGGTGTGAAGCCTTAACCTACTGACATGTGAGACATCTATTGACGAAGTTGCAAACCTGTCTCTTCATCCTACTTTAATAATATTGGCGATGAAGATCATGATGCATCTTCATGCCACCTAGATGAACTAAAAAAATGGGAGTAATGGAACTCCTTAAGGATCTCCTATCTCAGATCCATCGACTGGGAACCACAACCCTTCCCCTATACCGAAGACTTTCATCTGCATGAGTGGCACAACCCTTATCACTTGTACCTGCTTGTATCCGGTCCTTGATGGATGATAACTCAATGTCCCACCTTTAGGACTTAATCACCCTGCTCAGTAGGGAAGACATTGCCACTAAGCTACCCAACGTACCTTGTGTCTGACCCCTATAGTGTAGCCCGAACTGTCCCACAGTCTTAAACATCTACCACTCCTGGAAAGCCACACTAATGAAGACTCCTCGTGACTTCAAGCTGAGTGCATGAGCCACAATGTTTGCCTTATCGAGATTGTAATACAATGTGAAATTGTAATCTTCCAAGTACTCCATCCACTTGCACTACCTCATGTTGAGGTCCTGTTGAGTAAAGATGTACTTCAGACTTTTGTGGTTCAAAAATACCTCAAACTTCTCACCATACAAATAGTGGTGCCAAGCCTTCAAAGCAAAGACAATGGCTGCTAACTCCATGTCGTGTGTGGGGGTAATTTTGTTCGTAGTTCTTTAATTGTCGAGAACAAAAAATCACTACACTCTTGGAATGCATCAAAACACAACCAAGTCCATCTTTAGAGGTATTATAGTAAACTGTGTACATTTGTCCTCTCTCCGGGACTATCAAAATAGGAGCCGAAGTAAGCCTCCTCTTTAACTCCTGGAATGACTTCTCACATGAATCATTTCACTCAAACTTGCCCTCCTTTCAGGTAATCTTGTCATAGGGGTATCTAATCGGGAAAAATCATAGATGAACCTCCTGTAATACCCCATAAATCCCAAGAAATTATGTATCTCGAAGACTGACTTCGGCCTCTTCCAATTTATTACCGAATCAACCTTCTCCGGGTCTAAGGATACCTCCGAAGCCGACACCACATGTCCCAAAAAATTCACCTCCGTAAGCCAAAATTTGCATTTGCTGAACTTGGTGTACAACTGATGGTCCCTCAAGATCAGGAGAACAATCCTCAAGTGACCCTTATGCTCCTTATCAGACTTGGAGTAGATTAGGATGCCATCTACAAACACCACAACGAACTGATCTAAATAGGGTTGGAACACCCTATGCATGAGATCCATGAATGCCGTTGGCGCATTCGTCAATCCGAATGGCATCACTGTGAACTCAAAATGCTCGTACCGCATTCTAAACGTTGTCTTAGGGATGTCCGCCTCCCTAATCCTTGACTGATGGTAGCCCGTGCGGAGATCTATCTTGGAGTAGACTCGCACTCCCCTCAGCTAATCAAACAGATCATCAATCCTCGGCAAAGGGTATCTATTCTTGATAGTAACCTGATTTAACTGCTGGTAGTCTATACATAGCTGAATAGTCTTATCTTTCTTCTTGGTAAACAATATTGGAGCATCCCAAGGTGAAGTGCTTGGTTTGATAAAACCCTTGTCCAACAATTCTTACAATTGGACTTTGAGTTCTTATAACTCGGTAGGTGCCATTCTATGCGGAGTCATTGAAATAGGAGAAGTATCAGGATGTAACTTAATGCTGAAGTCCACATCCCTATGGGGAAGTAATCCCGAAAGCTCGTCTAGAAAAATATCCTCATACTCACAAACAATCCAAGGTAGATCCAACTCATGTCTCACCTCGTCCTCTAAGGTAAGGCTAGCAAGCCAACCCATCAACTGCTCGTGTCATCTAGAGTCGTATACGACTTGGAGTAAGGCATCGTGCTTTTCCCTTAGAACTTAAAACAAACACCATTAGGCATATAAGTAGTGACCCTCTTTCGATCACAATCAATGACAACTCGGTGTGCCGTCAACCACTCCATCCCAAAGATGGCATCAAACTTCGACATGTCCATGACTCTGAGGTCCACGGTGAGTAAAATCTTTGAGATCTCTAACTCACAACCTTGACATATCTGATCAACAGTCACCCTAACTCTTAGGGGAGAACTAACGTATACTGCCTCCTCCAAAGTCTCAACCTCTAAGCCCAAATCTCTCACGCAAGATGCATAAATGAATGAATGTGATACACCAGAGTCAAATAATACCCTAGCCTATAAGCGAGAGAGAAGAAATATACCCTGAATAACAGACTGATCTGTTGGCTTAATCCGAGGTATGATGGCGTAGACACGCCCATGGGTCCCCGAAGTCTTAGCCTGTATGCCGTCCTTAGCCTCGACCCATGCCCTGACGCATCTGGCCTGATTGCGGAGTCCCTTGCTCATGAAATGATAGGGGCCTAAGTAGCACACTATTACTGGTACTGGCTTCCCTAGCCCATGGTGGGGTGGGGTGGGGAGGAAAGTAGTGTGTTTGTGGCTGCCCCATTGATGATTGGGACTGAGATATCCCATAGCTGTAGTATCCTTGCCTTTGAGGACAATCCCGCTTCATATGTCCCAGTTGGTGGCAAAAGAAACACGCCCGTGAGCTTGCTTGGCTATAAGCCTTGAAGTGTCTCCTGCCTTGGGAGGATTGACCTTGGCCTTGGCCTTGGTAGCCACGGCCCTGTCCTTGATGTCCTTGGGGAAGTCCTCTACCTCTTCCCTAAACTAGAAGAAGATGATTGGCCCTCCTTCTTCCTATACTTATTTCCAAGCCTCCCAAATGTTCCTCGCATCGTCCACCTTTTGTTCAATGGCCATTGCAGCCTCAACCATCGATTCCAAATCTTGTAGGCAGTGGCCCACAATCTTTTCCCGAATGGATAGTTTCAAACCATCCTCAAACCTCCTCACTTTGGTCATGTCTGTGGCCATGTAATCATTGGCGAAACGGGCCAACCCGGTGAACATAGCCTCATCATGTTGTACATGGTTCAAATTGTAGGAATTGAGCACCTAAAAGTTCCTATCAAGAAATATAACATGTGGCACTGTTTTCAAATTGATGTTGGGACTTAATTTAGTACCCAAGCTAAACATGGTCCCTAAAATATTACCTAAAATGAGAGAGGTCTATGTTCCATTAAATAAAATTTGTATATGGAAAGAGAAGCAAGCCAAGGCCACATTGTGTTATGTATGAACTAGCAATTTTAGTATACTCCTTTAAGAAATGAAACTTTGAATGTAAAGCTCTGCCTAGACAAAGAGCCAAAACAAAAAAATCCTTAAGAAAGATGGGGATTGAATAGAAATAACCAAAAGAGAAGTACAATTGCCACTAACCTCTGAACATTGTTCTTCAATCTCAAGTCGTACTTTCAGTGCATAATCGCTACTGACATCCATGTTATTTAAAGCTGTCGCAATCTCTATCCTAGTCTTTTGCACACCAGCACCACCCATGAGTAGCTTCGCTCCAAGGTTAGGCTCCCTCATTTTATGCTGCAACGCTTCATTATAGTTGCCACCCATCAGACTCACAGCATTGCTCAGTACCGCAATCACTCAGTTAATATTAGAAGTGGATATTGACCTCCTGCATCAACTCTGCAGAACATAGAACACGTTGTCCACCATGGACGTTGTGAGGCTGTCAAGTACATGCTCATCATTGCTATTAGCGTTCCTCACATTTTCCACCATAAAGAAGCCCTCTAAAATCACATAATAACCAGTAATGTCCTGAACAACTTTACTGAAATTTTTGCTCCTAAAAGCTCTGGTTGCTCGGGGAAGCATTTCTGGATCAACTGAACTCAAACCTCTTATCTTGGACACTATATAATTAGTGTAGTCCTTACCCAACTGTTTCAATTGCAAAATCTCTTCCAAATACAATTCGATATCCCTTGGTTCAGGTCCTTGGACTCCAACAGAAAGTAAGTTACCCTTGGAAGTATTAATTTCGAATGTCAACTTAACCAATTTTTGATATTCCATGTATTTCTTTAAAATTAAGGAACCCCGAGAATCACACTCATCTTGGAGCTCACATATGGCATACACAATTCCAGCTTCACCATATAGATTACTCCTCAAAATCTCATTATTTTCTTCTATGGCTAACACAATGTCTTTGAACAAATTCTTCAAACAAGCAACAAAGTTCACTTGATTTTGATTTAGTAGCAGCGGCAGAGGATTGCTGTTGCTAGATTGATTCCTGCTCGAATTCAAACCTAGATCTCATCGAAATTACTTTCTTCAAATAACTTATGTACACTTGCAATCCTTCTTACTCCAAACCGAGAGGAGAGTATACTCTAATGAACCGAAGGATCGCTAGGTGGTCCCGTTGATCCACAACAGTCGATAACCTCTTCCTGAAAATTCCTTCTAGCTGATGCTTTGATGCTAGCAACAGTTCTCTCTAATTCAAACTAGAATCTCTGTATTTGGCATCGATCTGGAGGAAGGTCTGGAAGTATTTAACAGCTGATTCAAAATCTTCAGTTTGGAGAGCTTTCATAACGCCATCAATGCAATTACCTCTCTTTATGATGGCGTCAGTGCGGAGAAGAGTGTCATTGACGCGGGACTGAGCAAGATCAAGTTGGCGGACTTTGCCGCTGACCTAATCGACAAGATCGCATATGGAGCGGACGTTGGAGAGCATGTGGTCAGAATCGGCCTTGACGATCTCAAGGTGCTCGGTGGATTTGTGGAGGTTGGAGAGTTGTTTGTCGAGATCGGAGCGTTGGGAAAGAATGGTGTCCAGTTCAAGATCCTGGGCTCATTGGTAGGCAATGCATTCGTGGAGGAGACGAGTCATGGCTCCTACATCGGTGAGTTTTTGAACGTGTTCGAGGGCTTCAGGAGTGCCGAATCGAACTGTTGAAGAGGATGAAGATGAATTGATGGCTGTGGAGGTATCGTGTTCTTCTTGGGGTGCTGAGATTGAGCCGTAGGGTGTCGTGGAAGCCATTTCATAAAGACAGAAGAGAGAACGAAGAAAGACACTCGTATCTTCAAAACTTAAAAATCAAATTGAGAAATTGACTTAATCTGCCCGATCTTACAGTTTTTGAGCTCAAATTAAAATTTCGACAAAAAATTCTTTAAAAAAAATTTTCAATAAAACATTTCCCATCTTTACCTTTTTATACTTAAATATAAATTTAGATAAAAATTATTTAAAATATTTTTCAATACTAGACTCATACCCATACCAAATAAATAAAAAAAAACCTTTTCTTAAACCCAAAGAGAAACATTTTTAAAGCTCAAATTTTTAATGGTGAGATTTCATCATCTTTTAATAGATATCCATATCAAATCAAGGAATATTTTTTTTTACTCAAATCAAGGAAAATTCAAATACATACTCAAATCTTTAATTGAGAGATTTTATTCTCTTTTAAAGATCCAATAATCATATTTGATGAACCTGAAGCTAACTGGGCCAGACCTAACGAATCAAGAGAAACCCACGTCATCTTGAAGCCCAAGTCATCAAGTCAAGAAGGAGCCTAGGACACCAGTCCCAAAGGGAGACCAAGAGACCAGTGCTCGAAGAAGATCCCAAGGGGCGCCGCCCAAGGGGGCACCCCTGCTCTCCTCCATGCCATGCTCTTCCCTTCTCATATGAGTATCGCCTTAATGGTCTCTCTCCTCACTTGGTCTCTCCAACTCAACTCCAACCAAACTTAGGATCTTCCTCCGACGGAATAGGAACACGAGGAAAAAAATATCGGGACACGGAGATCTAATCCTGCCATAACTGTACTTACCAAAATAGTGGAAGACCTTTCCTTCACGTCACCGCCTCACCGCCTTTGTAAACCTATATAATGCAAGCTCTCTCCACAAGGAGAGACATCTTCACATCACCTTTTGAGGCCTCTACACCTTGAGATCTCTACACATACTACACTTCCCTACACACATTGTACTCTCCCTCTCTCCCCCAAAAGCAATGTAATACTCCTGGAGAATACTCTCTCTGGCAATTTCATTCATTAATAAAAGACTCACGTTATCGCTTCTGTTCTCGAGAGTGGAGTAGGTCACTCGGAACGAATCACTGTAAATCATTGTATTGTTTCTTTGTTTACAGCTTTGTTATTAATTGATTGTTTACTGCTTATTGATTGCATCCGTACACATCCTTGACTGTTGATTTTGCGCAATACCGATTTGTGCATCATTAGTATGTCGCCGTTTGTGGGAAACGACTAATTTCCGACTCTCTTTCAATCCATGGTAATCACTACCAGAATGATGAGTCAACAACTGGGAGACAACAACCCGGCTCACCAAGAGGAGGCTCCATCTCCCCTTGCACCCTCGAAACCATCTGCTATTGTGACTGGACAACAGCAATCGCTGGTAAAACAAAACCAGCAGATCATTCAACTGATGCTCGCACAGGGAGGCGTCGTCCCTCACCCTGTAGGACGAGTACCATTCCCTCCAACAGGAAAGGAGCAGCAACCCATTCCTTCTAGATGCCAAGCAGCGCCTAACAATGGGGCCCCTGGTCAGAATGCTCCAAGGCCACTACCAGATCGATGAGTCAACAATCGGGAGACAACAACCCAACTCACTAGGAGGAGGCTCCACCTCCCCTTGCACCCTCAGAACCATTTGCTACTACGAATGGACAACAGCAACAGCTCTTACAAACTATGCAACTACTGGTAAAACAAAATTAGCAGATCATTCAACTGATGCTTGCCAAGGGAGGCGCCGCCCTTCACCCTGTAAGAGGAGTACCACTCCCTCCAACAGGAGAGGAGTAGCAACCCATCCCTTCTAAGCGTCAGGCAGCCCATGGGTCCCCTTGTCATAATGCTCCAAGGCCACATCGGGGCTCCCCTCGCCTAGTAGCCCAGCTTCAGCACCCAAGGAGCTCACGTGTACCCTCTTCACACGTACTTGCGCAAGAGAATGAAGACGAAGAAAGCCAATATGGTGATCATGAAAGCTAGTACTATGATGCCCCTAAAATCGGGAGTCTTTGTGAAACTGTTGATCATCCATCAACTCGTAGAAACCCTCGTGGATGCCACTTAACCCGACACCATGATATCATATCCCCTTTACCAGGATGACAAAAACCCAACCTTTATACTTTGAATTCAATTGAACCATCCAACGTCCAATATACCTCAAGTTATACTCCAATAGGGTCCATTTACACCTTTTGAAATGAGGGAATGCATAGCCCAAAAACATGTCAAAGCACTTTTAAAAGTTTAGATTTTTGAAAGATCTACTGGTAGGTTTGCATGAACCTAGCGGTAGGTTTGATCCACTGGAAAAGTTCTATTAAAATATCAAATTTTTGGAAAAGCTACCGGTAGGTTTTTATGGACCTATCTGTAGGTTTTGTCTACTGGAAAAGTTCTACCAGTAGGTTTAAGTTCTACTGGTAGGTTTTGCCCAAAATTGCCTATTTCACTTGCGTTTCATTTCCAAACCAACCTAATCCATTCCACCACCATCAAATTCAAGTTTAATAGAGTTTTTCACATAAACATGATACTTACCAATTCTATTACATACAATTCCATATATTTACACATCAAAATGGAATTTTCATAAAGGTTTTACAAAATGAGCAATAAAAGCCACAAGTTAGCTTTCTTCATCCTTGAGGCTCGAAATGGGAGTTGTCCGCCAGTGTAAACCCCGTACCTGAAATTTTTGTCCCATAAAGGGTGAGCCACGCTCATTAGGATATCTCCTAAAGAGGCTACTCCCCAACCTAAGTGCATATAAATGGTCTACATGCAACATTCAACAATCCACAACATTCCAAACAAGAACATGCATTCAATTTTGGAATATACCAAGTCATGCCATGATACGAGATGAAATTCACTAATACACTCTAACCCGCGCCCTCACCGGCTCCCATCACACAATGCAACGCCAGTGTATGAAAAATAGGCACTTCTAAGCCCCCGCCATTGGTGTTACACACCGAATGACAATTTTATATAAGCAAAATCATGTGTCTTTGTTGGGTAGTGGAATTTTGGTGTAGTACCATCGGCTCCGCACACCGATACACTTTTTTGGACTTGCACCGACGGAAGTGTATAAACTAGTATCCGGGTCTTGCACCCGAGGGAGAGTCTAGCCCTTTTTGCTATACCCGACACAAGTTTTTCCATGCAACCGTGCGACTCAATTAGAACTTCATTCCAAATTTTCCCGAACCCACCCATCATCCACCAAGTATGGTGTTTGATTGAACCTTGCACACACACACCCACACCCATGCCCAATACCCATGAATGTGATGTCAACATCGTGCCCAATATGCGATGAATGCAAATTGAGCAATTTCACCATTCTATTATCAATTATATCAAGAGCATATAATTTTTACAATTCATCATAATGCTAACATATCATAAAGCGTATATTAACATCATACACAACAACAATTTCACTAAGTTCAACAAGACATACTATAAACACATAACATGTCCACAATAACATTCTTACTAAGAAACTACAAATTAGTAATTTGCACATTTCTCAAGAAATTCCACTAAGTAATTTCTACATACCCAATTTAAGATAGAATTTATTCTACCCATTTTCAATACCCATTTCACCACAACAGGCAAGTGATATATATAACTCTATCAACCTACCCATTGCGCATAAAACTCCTAGGTTGGAAATAAACCTATGTAAGAGGGAATCCTACCTCTTGAAGCATAAACTCACTTGGTAGAAGCATTCAAGACCCCCAATCTCGCCCAAAATCCCTGATTTCTCCAAGCTCATTCTTGGAACTTCGGTGAAATCCGTTCTTCTTGGTATGGTTTTGTAGCCCTCGCTGTGTAGAACAATCTTTGCTCTTAGCTTGAGTTGATTCGAGCAATAAATCTCCATAGATCGCAAAGAGAAGGTGGAAAACCCAATCCTTTTTCCCTTACTTCTTTCTCATGTTGGAAAGGGCTGGAAAATGGGGAGAAATATGATATTTCTCCCCTTTTTATACTCTCTAAATACTTGGTCCACAATGCCCCACACAACCCCCTTTTCTCGGGTTTATTTTCGCCCTGAAATGATTAAATTTCATCTCGACTCAAGTTTAAAATATTTTTATTTTAACTTGCCTTAATGTATTTTCCAACTTTCAAAATTTTATTCAAAAATTCGTCTTTGGGTCACCCGAGGCCCGATCACCTCGTAAAATGTAAGAAATCTGACTATTTCAGAATTTGATGAAAATTGACGTGGTTGCTAGATTTCGCGAGACGAATTCAACGGTGAGGTCCGTTTCGTCACCCGAGATCTATAAAAATTCAAGATTTCAGCCCAAAATATAGTGATAAATTATCGTTTTGCCTCTTTTTATAAAAAGTTCAAATTTACTGGGGTTTTTTCATTTTTTCCCCTTAAAAGAAATTCGTCCCTGAAATTCAAACATACATGCACAGATAATGATATGGATATGCAATAGTAATACTATACTTAAAATTGTAAACATGTACCTCCATCCTCAAACAAGAACGAATAATTGGTACGTATGGTGTCCTCATGCTCCCATGTCGCCTCCTCCACACCTCGGTGCTGCCACAACACCTTCACAAGCCTCACAGTCTTGCCTCGTAAAATCTGCTTCTGGTTATCCATGATACACACCGGTCCATCCTCAAAGGTCTCATCCGCATCAACAATCAACTCACCCCAATCCACTACATGCGTCGGATCTGGAGTATACTTTCAGAGCATAAAGACATGAAACACCGCATGAACACCTGATCAATTTGGTGGTAATGCCAACCTGTAAGCCACTGTACCCACCCTCTCGAGTACCTTGAAGGGCCCGATAACCTCGGCGACAACTTTTTCTGTTTCCCGAACCTGACCACTTCTTTCTTAGGCATCACCTTCAAGAAGACATGATCTCCCACCTCAAACTTCAGAGGTCTTTGTTGTCTGTCAGCATAACTCTTT